AGTATGACTAGTGTCTGCATAACAAGGTGTCACATAGTTGTCCAGTGCCATTGCCGGAGCAGGTAGTACTGACCATAGACTCTCGGGGCGACGAGACTAAGCAGGTAGTAGTGTTTAGCTTACCAATAAATCCATAAAATAGAGCATACATATATCATCTTAACCACCTGTTCAGGCTTTTGTGCACCAATGTAGAAGGAATCTCTACACAAAAAGTCATCATCATTTGCCTTACCGGTTGGTCAGGCCGTACGTGTCACACTATATGTTGCACTATTTATAGTGCAGTGCACTGCCACATATCCTGATTAGTATGACGCGAACGCTCTAAAACCATGCGCTAGTGCACCGTTTACAATGTCTTAAGTGTGTTGTCAGCTCCGCTGTACATGTACACAAACGCTTCGATGTACATGTATAAGTCTTCAGTATAACATACATGTAGCTAAAACTTCCAAGAACACGGAGTGAGTTTATGCATAGACAACACACACACACAGAGAAGAGCTAAAACATCTCATTAAGAAATATGCTAATCAAATGATGTCAAGCCCTGTGTTTGCATATACATGTATGTGTAGAAAGAAGCAAACCACAAACAGGTAAAGGACTTATTTCTAGGACATGCCAACCATATTAGAATATTGTGGTAAAGTCATGGAGAGATCATCCTGCAAACACTAACCATCAATCAGAAACACTTCTAGACACACAAACACTGAAATACATGCACTGCACACACTGATGCACTCTATGATGGATTAATATAAAATGATGCATTGAAGTAATGAGTACTGATCTCATGGCTAGACAAACATTTAATCGAAACCTCAGCAGGTGTGTATAGTTTGGACATAATGAATGTACGAATGTGCCACTTATTCTTATTACCTATTATACATACACAGTACAGTAAGAAGCATTATCCAAAGTTATAAAAACTGAGACATTAGGTAATTAGACATGAATCTAGACAGGCATAGCAACTAATACAGGCCCCCTGAGGTCATAATAACAATAAGAATGGACCATTGTAGGATGTGCTCCTGTCCTACTTGTTTTTGTGTTAATAATGCATGGACTATAACAACTCTCTCTCTGGTTACCTGATTCGTCTTTTTGTGGATTGAAATTAACTAGAAAGCTCCCCTGGACTTCAATGGAAGTGAGTCCCTCCAGTTTTGAAGTGACCAGC